AAAAAAAATGTTTAAAAAATTCTATCCGTCAAAAAATTTTGACATTTGTTTTTTGACATTTGACATTTTTTTATGTCTATTTAATAATACTGATGATTTTGTATATGTTTTTTTGCAATTTTTAGTAAAGGTACAAAACTTTTGCCAATAAAAGCCACAAATAACATTGAACAGAGTTACAATTTAGTATACAGCTTCCTTGTTTCCGCTTCTAATAGCCTTAGCAAAAAAAACTTGGAAATTTATTTTTCCTATAGAAATAAATAGAGTCAAAGTGCAAAATTTAAACTCTCTTAACTTTGAAATTTTTATAGATAGATTTTTTTTTTTAATTTTTCCATGTTTGTAGTACCTTACCCTACATGGCATTTGTCTTTGAGACAGGAGTTCTGGCGCACTCTGTATGTGCATATCATGTAGAATGTGACTCCTTCAACTTTTAGAATCGCGATATCTCAGGAATGGTGATTCTTAGAAAAAAAGTATAAGGTCCATTTTTGTAGATAATTTCAAGATCTATAATTTTTGTCTGGGCTACTTTTTTGATAAAACTTACCGTTTTCGAAAAAAATGTAAAAAACGTCAAATTTTGACCTTTGACCCCGAATAACTTTTTTAGCACACATAGGATCGATGGGGACTTTTGACACTTTATTCCTAATAGTGTACCCAAGATCTCCACCAAAATTTAGCTCTGTCGGAATTTTAGTTATTTGAAATGTCTATTTTGACCGGACTATTAGTCGATTTCGCTTAGTTTTAGAAATAAGACGTTTTTTGACGAAAACATACACTTTTAAAAAATTTATTACACAAAAACTAAAACAGCTAGAACAATTTTTTTCTTACTTCTGCAAAGAAGAATGTACAGAATTTAAATCTGTAGCAATTTTTTAGTGTTTTGCTTTTGTAAAAATTAATAAATTAAGAAGTTTGTTGAAAGTTATATAACTTAAAAATATCAAATGGAACACCCTATTTTCACTCCGCTGCGCTTCGCTCGTGCCTAATAAAACTCATGTCTAAAGTAGAATTTATCGCACTAGTCACATAATATACTATTATTATTTTACCATTTAAAGGTCACTAATGTACTTTTTCAACTCGCTGGGACATCCTGTAGATAGTTGTAATGCTTGGATCATAGTCTTTGTAAAAAGGCGTTTTAGTTTCATAGTGGGTTGTCATTAAAAAAAAATAATAATAAAATTTTACTCAAAACTCAAAAAAAAAAAAAACCGAAAAGTCTATTTTTGAAGAACGTCACATTTTTATAATACTTTACCATTCATCAATTAGTTTTTTTTAAAGAAATAGTTTAAGCAAAAAAAATTATTTACTGTAATTAGTTTGTTTTGACTAAAGTTACAAATTTTGTATCAACCATCTAACAGTATAAATATTCAATGTACTAATAAAAATTATTTTTTTGTTTTTTTTTATGTACAAAAATTTTGCAAAAAATTTTTACATGGAACACTGTACCATGCGATCAAAAAAAAAATAAAAATCAGAGTAGGCGGTGATTAAGGTCCTTCAGATGGCAATCCTGATTTTTGACATCAAATGTCAGCGAAAACTTTGACAAGTTCGCATTTTATTCATTTTGAGTGAAATAATGTTTACTTTAGAGCAGAAAATTTTAATTGTTGTAAGTTATTACAAAAATGCTGTACAAGACGAAAACGGTGAATGGTTATTTTCACTTTCAGTTTGTGTGGAAAATTTTGGCCAGATTCCCAGCCAACATGTTGCCAACTGTAGAACAGTAATCGTCACCTACTCTATTTTTTTTTTTTTGATCGCACGGTACATTTATCTGTTTTTATATTTTTGGTTGAATTTTGACTTGACCAACTGTTGTTTAAATTAACATTTTTCCTCTACTTTAGAAAAATTAAGTGTTTTGCATTTAATTGCGTTTAATTAAATTTCTGATGAAAGTGACGTGTGTGGCTTTGAAATTAGATTGTCAACACTGAGTAATGCAAAGACAAAAGATAACTTAATTTCAAAGTCATTGTATAGGCCACTTTGATTAAAAATTTAAACGAACGCATAGTAGTACAAAAAAGTTGTTAAACAACAAAACTAAAAATCGAAATTATACACTTACTGAAGAACACTAGTGTATTTTAAGAATTAGGACCGGTTTTTGGTTCATTTCAAATGTTTGGAACTTACCTCAAACATAAAAGTATCTACTTCTTCTCTTATCTCTTCCTGTGTCAACATTCTATTATCAATTTTTGTTTCTAATAACAAATCTAGAAATGGTTTTTTCTTTTTTGTAAAGTTCTCTTCTTCATTACTAGAATTTTCTTTCGAACTCTCCAATTCTTTTCGTCTGGCATTAATCACATCATTGGTTTGTTTATGTAAAATTTTTAAGGATTTTTTTTCAGTCCAGTAATTTTTCGTTAAAGGATATATAAAAGGACACATCTGAAGAGGAGAAATGGATCTTTCGACCACAATCCGACACATATTTTTCACACTTTGGACATAATCCGAGGTGCTATCCTCTTGTGCATTTATACGTATTCCCATTATACTTTCTGCATTTGTTGAATGAATGATAAAATAAAAAACAAGAAAATACTCACCGCAAATTATGTCAAGGGTGCACATTGTAACGTAAGGATAAATATCACAACTTTCCCTATTGACTTCATTTTGTAATTTATCAAGAAGTGTGTTTCCACATTTTTCAAAAACTTCAATAAATTGTTCTAAAATTTGGAAATGAAAAGCTGGGGTTAAAATGCGTCTATGAGTTTTCCATTTCGCTCCTAAAATTATTTACAAAAGTATGAAATAAATACGATTTATGGAACAAAATACCTACCATCACTTGTCAGCAAACCGGTACCCAACCAAGAATGAAGAAATTTGTAATTATGCGATTTACGAATCAATTTTGAGCTACTTAAAATACACTCTAAAAAGTCGTAATTGGATACTAGAATATATCTATGAAAAGGGCCGATTTGTGCTCTTAGAATGTCGCCATAATCTCTAGTGTAATTAATCAGATTTTGGAGCACATCTTAAAATTGGTTTCACAGTTAACTGAATCGATTTTAAGAGTTTTTACCTTTTGTAGTTTTAAAATCTAAAGCACTTCCTAAAATTGGTAATCCACGAGGACCCCGAATATTTTTATAAAAGTCATTGTTTTGTTTCGATTTTTTTAAGAACTTTGTTACAAAAACAATTATAACTAAGATGGAAGTTAAAATTGTAACAATATTAATCATTTTTTTCTAAAGAAAAACTTCAAATTATTATTTTAATTTATTATTTCATACACTTGTAATTCACAAACTTACGATAAGAAATCAAAACCCGAACTGCTCGATAAAAGTATTGCAGTCAATATAAATACATAAATACATAAGGTCAGAACCAGAGCAGGCATCATGACAGGGCGGCAACATTTTCAACATTTTCGTAAACTTGAAAGTTAACACCTAAAAAAATTTGGAGAGCATTTTGATAAGGACATCGATGGATTGGAAGTTGCGGACGAATTACAATACAAAATAATTACTTAATACAAAATAATTTTTCTATTGAAGTTCTCAAATTTATTCTGCAAAATGAATTTGCTTTAAATCTCACAGTGGTTTTATGAATTTTACCTTGTGGTAAGTGGAAAACGATCGTTATCAAAATTAAAACTATGTAATAAAAAACTATTTAAGATCAACAATGGTACAATCGCATTTAGTTGATTTGGCGATAACTTGGGCTTGACTTTGCATCTACTAAAGTACAAAAGATTAATTTTTAAACCTTTTTAACTATACAGGGTGTTTCACAACGTGCGTCCCAGAGAAAAATTTTCAGTAAGATAAGATACCAGGAACAATGTTTAAAAATTCTATGTTAAAAAGTTTTGACATTTATTTTTTGATATTTGATATTTTTTATGTCAATTTAATGTTACTGATGATCTTGTATATGTTTTTTATAATTATTTAGTGAAGGTACAAATATGTTGCCAATGAAATCTGCAAATAACGTTAAACATAGTAACAATTTAGGATATAGCTTTCTTGTTTTGTCTTGCAGCAAAAAAATATGTAAAATTATTTTTGCAACAGAAATAAAATAGGGTCAAAGTGCAAACTTTAAACCCTCATACATTCAAATTCTATCTATAAAAATTTTGTAAATATGGGGGTTTAAATTTTGCACTTTGTCTTTATTTATTTCTGTTAAAAAACAATTTTACATGCTTTTTTTATAGCAGGCTATTAGAAAAGGAAACAAAGAAGCTGTATCCTGAATAGTAACTATGTATAACGTTATTTGTGACTTTTATTGACAATGCTTTTATAATAATTATGAAAAAACACATATACAAGATTATCGGTAACAATAAATGGAGATAAAAGAAGGTTAAATGTCAAAAAATAAATGTCATTTTTTCTGTTTTTCTTTCTGTTATCTTACTTGGCATTTTTCTATGATCCGTAACTTTTGAGACAACTGTATATTATTATCTGAGATATTATAATTAAAAGAAAAACCATTTTTATTTTCTAGGATTTTAAGACCAATTTTTTTTATTATAATGCCCTATTTAATGTGTTTACTGCTTTTTAGGATCTTTTTTTTAGCATATGTTCTAAAATCTGTTCTCTAATTATCACCTAATCTTCTTTGAGACAATCTATCAAATTCATCGGTTAGGTTTTTTCGTTTTTTAAATTAGGTAGGTATATACACTATCGGACAAAAGTAAAGCAACTATTAAAAAAAATCTTTATATAGTTATCTTTATAGTTTATAGTAGTTTTGTAAAACAGTCAAATTGGGAACAATTAAATACTAAATTTGCTAGAAATTTTGATTTTTATGACCATTTTAACTGACAAAGTCAGAAAAAATAACGTATTTGTTGTACGTGTTGATATCAGTGTTTAATTGAATGTTACCAGAATTTATTAGAAAAAAAAAACATTTCATATAAATTTGTATCCGTTAATGTTTTCCTTTGATATAAACATACCAGGTGAATAAAAAGTATGGAACCAAACGTTTTTTGCTTAAACTATTTATTTTTTGAAAAAACTAATTGATGAGTGATAAAGTACTATAAAAATGTGATGATTTAACAAGAATAAATTTTTTCCAAGTTTTCTTTTGTTTTTGAGTTCTACAAAAAATTTAATTTTTTTAAATGGCAACCCACTATAAAATCATTTTTCTGATAAAAGCTATGCTGTAAGGATTACAACTATCTGCTTTACATTTAATGTTTTCAAAAAAAAACTTTTTACATAAATTGCCATTTTGACAAAGAAAAATCGCATAACTCAAAAACAAAACAAAATTTCGTTCTGAAAATACGATCACATTTTTTATATTACTATAATTTATATTAATTATTGTTTTCTGGAGGCAAATGACTAAAAATAAAACCGCTTGGTTCCATACTTTATATTCACTCTGTATTGTGTAATTAATTTAAAAGTTTGGCTTTCAAATTTTACAAGTTTTATTCGAGTTTTAAACAAAAATAGGTAGGTTTCAATTGGTGATTCCGTGGTGAGTGAAAGCAGTTGCGTCAACAATGCTCCAAATGACATTTTTTGGTCCATTTATAATAATTACTTTTTTTATTTTTTGAATTACATTTGACCCATTTGACTTAATATAGATTTCTGTTATACCGGCATTGAAAACAAGTTGTCAAAATCAGCTGTTTATGAAAGAAATGTCATTGATGATTCACTATTCGTTATCGACAAAACTATAAGTGTTAATAATAGAATAAATATATATCCAATTAATCGAATTTATTGTTCTTTGTGCAAACTTCAGTGTAAAGCGTGAAGATGTTTCGTACTACAGGCAACTTTGACAAGCTTTTGGGTAAGAAAACAACGCAAAAAACATTCATTTAATTGCACAATTTTATTCATTTTTAGACAAAGCCACAAGCAATTTATTGATGGAACCAGATTGGCCATCAATTATTCAACTTTGCGATTTAATACGTCAGAATGATGTACAGTGAGTTATCTAAATGATCTTTAATTTTTTTTCCTAATTCAAGTAAATTCTAGGCCCAAGTATGCCCTAAATGCAGTGAAGAAGAAGCTGTACTCTCCGAATCAACATACTGCGATGTATGCTCTTTTAGTGCTTGAAAGTATGGTGAAAAACTGCGGTAAGTTAACTTAAGTTTAAATTTAAAAAAATTTGAACATTTCTTTAACTAGGTTATCCTTTACACGACGAGCTTACCACCCGTCCCTTCTGCGACACCCTCTACGACCTCGCCAAAACCACCACTCACGAGACTGTCCGCCAGAAGCTCCTAGAATTGATCCAAGCCTGGAATTTCGCTTTCCGCAAAAGCCCCAAACACGGGGCTCTGAAAGACACCATGATCATGATGAAAAACGATGGTTTCAAATTCCCGACTTTCCGCGAATCCGACGCCATGTTCAGCGCCGATTCAGCCCCGGAATGGGCCGACGGCGATGTGTGCCACCGCTGCAGGACCGCATTCAGTTTGATTCAGCGTAAACACCATTGCAGGGCTTGCGGCCAGGTTTTCTGCAGTCAGTGCAGTCAGAAAACCACCACTTTGCCCAAGTATGGAATTGAGAAAGAGGTGAGAGTTTGCGACGCTTGCTATGATCTGGCAACGAAGCCTATCAGCAGTAAAGCGGACAAACAGGAGAGCGAATTGCCCCCGGAATATGTGAACAGTTCGTTGGCTCAGCAGAGTCAGACGCCGCCGAGGAAGAGCGATGAAGAGTTGAGGGAGGAGGAGGAGTTGCAGTTGGCTTTGGCTATTAGTCAGTCGGAGGCTGAGGCGAAGGAAAAGGAGAAATTCAAAATGGTTAACACTTACAAAGGTACTTTATTTCTAAACTTACTGTCTAGAAATAATAAATTGTTTATTTTTAATAATTTGATTACTAGAAAATTTTAATTATATTCAGTTCACAAAAATTCAAATTCTCTGAATTTAATGAAAACAGTAAACAGTATTATTGGAACATGTTTGTTTAGGTATTCATTATTTATCAATGAAATTTTTTGTAGAAAAAAAAGAGTTGCTTTGACATGCTTGCTTTTAACATTTTTGAATGGAAAAACTTTTTGCTACATTTTCAACAATCGCATAGTTTGTTTTTGAAATAATGAAGTTAATTATTATTGTCTTTAAATTTGTCAGGAGGGTGTAGTTATAACACAGATTCTTCTTTTATACAGAAACAACATTTATATAACTATTTTGCGTTAAAAATACTGTTGCGATGTTGCCATTTTGTTTGAAATTGAATTACGTGGCAAATGCAAAAGTCAATATCAGCACTTTAAAAGCATTTGTGTGAACCATAATTTTTGTTTCATATGAATCATTACATGTGACCAGGCTTTAATTATTATTTCAATATTTGCATTGTGGGCTTATCTCCTTAGCTACAATTCTTTGTTTTTTTGTTTTTGTCACTAGAAATTTTGTTAAAAAATTATGATTGTTTTCATGTTGTGATGTTGTGAAAATCTTAACTTTTATGCTTGTTTGCTCTTTGTAATAAGCCTTTATAATAGAATACCTGAGGACATACATCATTACGTAATGTCCAAAGACAGAATTCCGTGCCAATAATATTGATAGAACAACACTGTAAGTAAGTACAATGTTGTGGACAAAAATGAGCTTCTTACTACAGTGTCTACATAGAAAAATGTTATTTTGTGAAAGATACAAGTAGGGTTTATGAAGATCGGCAATCAATTTTGTGTAATTTATTGAAATGAGCTCAAAGTTGATGCATTTTCTAAATTCTCCTTCGGCTTTAGTTTCAGAATTGTTACTTTTTTAATTCGTTCTTCAAAAACGGTGCAACCAGTTAATTTTATTGCGTTTTTTCTCTTTGATGTTTATGTTGTATTCTCATCAATCTCTTATTAGTAAAAATTAGAGGTGTGTTTAGGAAACCTGCATTACAAATTGCGTCTAAATTTTAGTCTTTTTCTGACTTCTACGTGCACACTTTTCGTCTTCAAATTTCCAAAAACTGTTCGCGGTACCCAATTTGTCCCCGTTTTTGTGTTTTCATTTCTAAATTTTCTAGGACGATTTTTTTGCTGATGTTTGATGACATTTTTTTAATTAAATAAAAAATTGGAACTGCCAACTTTCTTTATTAAAATTAACATGAATGAATTTGTTAGGGGTCCAACTTTAAGACTGTTTGAAATTTCCATTTAAAAAAAAAAACGGACTTTAGATGATCTAAAGAATTATTAATAAATATGAAGCAATATTTGAACCTCAGTAACGACCTATAAAATGATAATAATTTTTATAAAAACTTGTGTCGTATCTCTACTGATAAGAATTTTACAGCCTTTGGATTTTGGGTATGGAAATTTGTTGTTTTTTTTTGTAATAACTTGGGAACCATTTGACCAAATTGGAATAGTTACTTACGAGAACATATGTTTTAAACTAGTAATCACGAAAATTGGACACATCTACTCAGTTTCCGGTTCCAGCAGTTGCAGGTCACATTTTCTGTGGTTTTTAATTTTTTTGGGCTCTTAACACTAATATTTTATTGCTTAAATCGATAGAGAATTGAAGAAATGAACCGTTTTAAAGATATTTTAATTTAAAGTGAGAACTGCACAACGCTAAATTTAACATACCGAGAAAAGTGGATTCCTTAAGGCTGTCCGGGAGTGAACGGGCAAGTCGGTTTTCAGTACTTATTATTCTTTTTCAAAAGCAACCAGTAATACACCCCAGGCATGGTCCAAACTCAGTCTTTACCTGCGTTCATGGGTTGGGTTAGTAAGAGTAATAAATTGTAATAAAAGTAAAAGATCAGTTCGCTAATATTTTTATGCTTTGAATTTGTGGAAGTCGCTCCAGAAATTTCTTGTTTTGACTTTTGGATCTTAAAAAAAATTTAATCATAATTATTCCTATCTACTTGATAGGTTATACATATTTACTAATTAGAAAGCTCACAGGTTCCATTTTCAATAGAAATTAAATTTTTGTATGGAGTAACAAGACATATAATTCCATAAATTAAAATTTTTACAATCGGAAAAATTACAAACTTATGCAATTGTGGACTCAAAATTTTAGACATCAAGATATGTCAGTTCAAAAAATATCAACGTAAGCCACGCTTTAGTGTCATTATGATTGACGTTTGAATCTAAAACTTTAGGACTTTTAGAAAGATTTAGTTGAAATTTATTTTTGGCGTCGATTTCCTAATACATACAATAAAGGCAGCAGTTGCAGTACGTTTTTTATATAGTTATTATTTTTTTATTTTGAATTCTTGTCATTTTTATTCAGCTGTCAGCATAAAAACTACAAAAATCAAAAAAAAAGTTGCACATAAAGTCAGTTTTACATTTTATGTCAACCGAATGACAAATCGTCCAAAATTCCGTGTCCGTACATCTAAATATCAAATTTACAATGCGCACTATAAAATTCATATTCTTTGGAGGGGCATTTATGATTTTTTTTAGCTAGGTTTTTTTAGTTTAAAAGTGTCCTTGTTTTCCATTACAATTTTTTGCCATTGACCACATATATGGGTAACACTAACTAACATTTATAGTTATGTCTTATAAAAAAAAAAGATTGTGATAGGCCGAATCATTTTTTATGAAGAACAACGATAAATTAAAAAATAAAAACGATCTCTTCAATAATTTTTTTTCATAGTTGCCCCGCTAAAAAATTATTTGTTTGAGACTTGGGACTTCTGGCGAGCATTTGTTTAAAAGTAATATTTTTTTTGTATACGCTTTCGAAACAAGCTGAGTTTTTGCTGGACCCAATAAAATAGTATGAAAATGGTTATATTAGGTTCTCAATACCCAAAATATAGTTTTTCAGAACGGATAAGTCAATTTAGTTACTATCGTGGCGAAATTTGTTTAATTAATAATAGGTGTAAATTTGTTGTATAATAAATTATTTTGTCTGATTATTGTTGGTTGCTATTTATTAAAACTCTCATAGCAAACTTTCATAGTAGCATTAATTATGGAATAATTTTTTGGGGAAATTCACAGGATGTGCACAGTGTTTTTGTACTTCAGAAAAAAGCATTAAGAGTATTGTGCAATTTAGGTTTTAAGGATACATGCAGAGACTCATTTAGAGAAGAAAAAGTTTTAACGTTGCCCTGTTTGTTCATATATAATTGATTGTGTTATGTCCATGAACATTTAAATGAATTTCAATCTAATTCTATCTACCATGAATATAATACTAGAAATAAAGGCTCACTCATAGTTCCTCACCATCGCTTGAAAAGAACCCAACAAGGTATCGATTTTTGGGGATCCAAATTGTATAATAAATTAAATGAAGGAATCAAGAACTTAAATATAGTTTAAGAAAAAAGTAAAGACAATGTTGATTAACAAAAGTTTCTATTCTGTGGAGGAATATATGGACTGTGACTTAAATTAAATATTGAAATTCATATTGTTATAGTATGTTTTTTCTTGTCTTGTTTTTGACCCTATTCTGTAGTTTTGATTACGAATAAAGAGATTTATCTATCTATCATAGATAATAAATAATCTTAGATCCCCACAAGGCACACATTTTTTCGAAAAAAAAATGGTCAGGTCTACTAAACTCGGGAGATTCGATAGAAGTACAATTCCAACGAAATTACCTTGTTTTCTCATTTCACGTCAAATGTTTCTGCTTCCAGTTTTCTAATAATAATAACTGAAAATTATTATGCTAATTACATGATAAAGATGACCATAATCCGTCCTTTGCTTGGGTTGGTACAAGGGCAAGTAGAGACCCTCGATCCTCCACAGAAACGACACTGGCAACGCCTCTAGTGGTAAAAGCAATCAACTAGAATGCACTTTTGGGCAAAATATATTAATAATTTAAAAACAATAGTGTTTTATTATATGGTGTTTGTCGAATTCGTTAAGAATTAATATTTTGTAATAAATACCAAAACCCTAAAACGAATCTTTGGGTCTACCGTTAAATATCGTGACTTTTACATCAATCACAATATCTCAAAAACTAAACACTTTTTTAAAAAAAGGCCAACGCATCGGCCTATAGAATATTCTTTTAAATTATCTTACAAAAACCGAAATTGATTACTTGAAAAATGACTGAGTAAAGTTGTTTTCAAGTTCACCATTTATGCATTTTTGTTCTTTTTTTAAAAGCATTGAATTTTTTTAAAAAAATCTCAACGTATCGGCCTGTAGATTTAAAAAACCTTTATTTTGATGTATAATACATGAAATTCTGTTGCAAGGATCGTTATACTTTAACAGTCTACTTACGTGTACTATTTCCCTTTTACCCTTCTGACGTCCCGTTTGTAGCTCATAGTTTACACTTCCTATCCTCTTTATGACCGTATAAGGTCCAAACCACCTACACATGAGTTTTGGGCTCTTTCCCTTTTTTCCCACTGGGACGAAAAGCTTCACTTTATCTCCTACCCTAAACTGAACATCTCGATGCATCGTATCATAACGTTTTTTGTCATACTCTTGCCTCTTCGTTATATTCTGCGCCGCTTGAGCCTGAATTGCCAAAAGTCTCTCTCTCAGTTCAATGATGTTTTCATTTTCCAATTGAGGTTCCATGAGGTTGGCTTGTGTAGGCAGTGAGAGAGTAATCTTGTTTTCAATATACTAACGTCTCGAATCGTTGGTCGCGGACACCCTTAAGTAGTCTACGGGTAGTTCTATTACTAAAAATTAATGCGAGACATACGTGAAAACTTCCAAGGCCCTCCCTGAATCATAATGATCCGTTGCTCACATTCTTAATATATTCGTGAAATAAATGATTGGCGATTTTGAATTGGTTTTTATTATTGCCAAGTTGGTATTTGATAATTAATTAACATCTAGTGAAAAGTAATGTTAGTTGAAAAATAAATAATTTCTAAACCATACTTACCTTGCTAATCCAAACTATTGTTTATAAACATAATATGTATGTTTTCTTTTAATTTTATCTCTTCTGATGAATTGATGAATATTTGCTTTCGGTACCAACGTCTAAGTTCAAAATTTACTATCGTACTATACATTTTTAGAAACATAAATTTACTAGATTTTCGTAATTCACTGTACCAATAATTGATTTTAGAAAAGTTTTTTAAGATAATTGAATTTAATTCAATCTTATCGCTTTTAGCACCTGTCGAACGTAGTCCATCTCCTCAACCCGAGCAGACAAATCCCGAACTTGCAAGATACTTGAATCGCTCTTACTGGGAATCCCTCAACCAAAATGATTCGGCACCAGAGGCAAGACCCGCTAGTCCCTCAGCCCCAACTTCGGCAACAGCTCCTGTCACCGAAGTCGTCAAATCCAAACACAAAGAAAACGGTGTTGTTGATAACGACATCGAAGAGTTCATCACTACTTTAAAATCCCAAGTGGAGATTTTCATCAATCGAATGAAAAGCAATTCGAGTCGTGGCCGTTCAATCGCGAATGATACCAGCGTTCAGACTATTTTCATGAACATCACTGCAATGCATTCGAGACTTTTGCGTTACATCCAACAACACGACGACAGCAGATTGCATTACGAACGTCTCCAAGATAAACTAACACAAGTCAAAGATGCTAGAGCGGCTCTTGACGATTTGAGGGAAGAACACCGCGAGAAATTACGAAGAGAAGCGGAAGAAGCCGAACGGCAACGCCAACTCCAAATGGCACATAAACTGGAAATCATGAGAAAGAAAAAACAAGAGTATCTCCAATACCAAAGACAGTTGGCGTTGCAACGCATCCAGGAACAGGAACGTGAAATGCAAATGAGACAAGAACATCAAAAGCAGAGATACATGATGGGTTACATGGGGAACAACCAATTCCCGCCTCCACCGAACAGTGCCCCGCCTCAATCCGCTCCCAATTACCACAATTACCAATACGGTCCGATGGTACCTCAAAACCCTCCCCAGATGGGACTCCCACCTCAAATGCCGTCTCATCCAATTCCGCAAGGTCCTCCCGGACCACAATCTCATTTCCATCAACAATTGTACGGCGTTCCACCTGTCGGAAACCTACCAATGATGAATCCCATACCTATGCAAGCTCCGCCCCCGAATCAGGGCATGCCGCCCCCAGGGTTCCACCCACCGCCTCCGCAGCAGCAGCAGCAACAGCAACAAGAGCCAAAAAACGAAACGCGAACCGCTGAGTTGATTAGTTTTGATGATTAAATTGTATTGGATTATTTTTTATTCAATAAATATATTAACCTAAACCGTCCGGGCTTACAGCTAAATAGCATAAAACACCGCCAGGTATCTGTTTGGCGGACACATAAGCGCGTCCGTCGGGGCTCCGGTGGTGGATAATGGGTGCGATGGGTCCGGCTTTGGGCAAATCTGGGATTTGTTTAGACATCAAGTCGCCCAATCGTTCGCTGAGGGAGATTAAATGGTTCACAGGGGGTTTCGTGAGGAACGGCATGTGGAGAAAACCGTTACAAACTTGGATTCGTAAAAACTGGGCGTATTCGTTGCGGATTTTAGCAGCCTCGAGGTTATCATCAGGAAGGCCTGTTAACTTTCGAACCCATTCAGCACATCGGACACGATCTATAAAACAATTGTAAACAAAATACAAAATTGATGTAAAATTGTACCGAAAGGGCTGTCTAATTTGTGTGCGTGTTGGGCTATGTCGCGTAAAGCGTTTTTGAACTCTTGGTGGTCTCTCGTACCCATAATTTTGACTTGTACACTGAAAATTTTAAATAAACCGCGTGACTGCTGCCAACTTGACGTTGGTGAAATTAATTGTAACACAGTGGGACAATAAAATAGTTTAGTTGTACGTTTAAAAATTTTAAAATTGTATTTTTCACTATGTTTGAATCTTAAATTACATTCCTAGCAAAAAATGGGGAATATTTTATACGCACAGTAATAAATTGATCTATTTTGATAAAGCATAGCAATCTAGAAGCAATAAATCAAAAATCACTAAACATGAATAAAGAACTGTCATCGACATCATCCATTGTATGTTTGGAAGGATTATTTAGCACTTATTTACGACGCATTTACTTGATTTTTCCAGTTTAACAATGCCTCAGGAACCCCGTAAATCTGAACGAAAATCATTGGTGAGACGTCTAACCTCAAATTAGTCTAACACAACAGTTGACAACCAATTTTTAGCCTCCATTGTCACCTGGCCCAATTCTTGACATTTCTGACGATGAATTGGTATCAATTTCCGTCCGCGACTTAAACCGCCAACTAAAATTAAGGGGCTTGTCTCGGGAAGACATCGTCCGGATGAAACAGAGAAGACGTACTTTGAAAAATCGTGGATATGCAGCCTCTTGTCGTATAAAACGCATTGAACAGAAAGACGAACTTGAAACAGAAAAGACACAAGAATGGCGTGACATGGAAACCATGCAAGATGATATTAAACACATGAGGGACGAGATGAATAGCATTCGCAAACGATTTGAAGCTTTGAAGAAATTCGCAATCAACAATAAAATTCCAATCCCAAATGATTTAGAGAATTTATAAGTTTTAATACAGTTTATTAATTAAAGGTACAAAATCTAGGTTTATGCACTATTGTCCATGTCTGCCTTTGCTATCCTTTCCAAGTCATCCAGACTCAGGTTATTTACTTTATGCTGAAAGTCTTTCATGAACTCGTCCACGATCACGGAGCATTGTTGATCAGAGTAGTACTGGCGGAGGAAACGGGTCAGGGCTGCTTTAAGTGTGTCAGGTTTTTTCACAGCGACGTAGATTTTAGCCCCGTCTTTGATATTCGGGTAGGATCCTACTGTTTTGTCGTCTTGTAAAGTCTTCCCACATACAACCATGGTCTGTTGTGCCACCGGAATGTTGATGTCAGTGGCAACTTTCTTTTTCAATTCGAGAATTGTTGTGGTTTCTTGGGCATCCACAACGCAGCTTCCTCCACGTATGCTTTTAATTAATACCTTCATTTTTGGGATTATTTGGGGCGAATTTTGACATAAAAACAAATTAATTTAGAAATTGACAAATGTCATTCTGACAGATTATTTTTGACAGATGATTAAACGGACCAAAGAAATGTTGTAAAGAGAAAAGTTAATTTTATTACACACAATTGTTTTTTAAAATACTAAAATAACTTTAATTAATTGTTTATTAAAATTTGTTTATAAATATGTTTTTTAAAGTAAAAAAAAATACAAAAATGTTTGCTTTATGTAACAACATTTGTCAGGTCCGCTTTAATTTTTGAGCTTTTGTTGCATCTAAATTAAAGTTACATTGTCATGTTGTCAAATGTCAAGTTCAAGAGGTGTCAAAGTTGGAAAAATTATTTAAACAAAAACTCGGTAAGTAAAAGTTATTGACTTTATTAATTGCTTGCATATTTATTCGTTGATTAGTACATATTTGCATAGTTTTGTTTAATATTGATTAGTATTAAACACGACCGGAAAATGCACATCTTTTTGTAATAAATTATAAACCAATTAAAACAATTTCTCCCAAATTATATCGTTTCCTGAATCTTCACATGTATGACCCACATTTCTCACGTAATACCTCCTGCGGAGAAATTTTTTCTAGTTCGTTGAAATTTTAATTTTGGCGCTTTCACTTTTACTCAAACTCGCTTCAAAACTAGTTTTATAATTTCACTTTGCGACTTTGCAATCAAAGTTCAAGTACTAAGTTAGAAACATCAGCGAACGAAACAGTAAGTTCTCTAGTTAGAGGGTTTCAAATTTTGATTTTTTTTACAATTAGCTCCAATCAAAATGGTCCACCCTTCGGAATTGGTCCAAAATTTGCGCAACTCATTCGAGAGCGGCAAAACTAAGCCCTTACAATTTCGAATGAAACAACTCAAAGCCCTGCTTCGCTTGTACGAGGAAAACATGACCGAAATGCTCGAAGTTTTACACAAAGACTTGCGGAAGTGCAAACATGAGTCGGTGGTGATGGAGACGGAGTACCTCATCAATGACCTCAAGAACACAATTGCGAATTTGTACAAGTGGGCCAAACCCGAGTACCCTCCTAAGGGTTTTGTGAATCTGCTGGATTCCCTATGCATCTATAGTGAGCCCTATGGAGTTGTGTTGGTCATAGGGTCCTGGAATTACCCCATCCAGCTCACTCTTCTCCCCGTTGCGGGGGCCATAGCAGCCGGTAATTGCGTCGTAATCAAGCCATCGGAGGTTTCCTCAGCCAGCTCGAAGTTCATGGCGGAGACAATCCCCAAATACCTTGACAGTGATTGTTACAAAGTGTACGAAGGGGGCGTTGCTGAAACCACCGAATTGTTGAAGCAAAGGTTTGATTATATTTTTTACACGGGGTCTTCGCAAGTCGGGAAAATCATCCACTCTGCTGCTAACAAATATTTGACTCCTGTTACATTGGAATTGGGGGGCAAAAGTCCGGTTTATTTGGATAAAACGGCCGATATTAAAGTCGCCACGAAACGGATTTTGTGGGGCAAATGCGTGAATATGGGTCAGACTTGTGTGGCCCCCGATTACGTGATTTGTACGAGGGATGTTCGCGATAAATTCGTCGAATGTGCGAAAAAAGTCCTCGCAGATTACTTCGGTAATGACCCGAAGGAGTCGCCCGATTTGGGGCGCATAATCAATGAGAGACAATTCCAACGTCTTGTTAACCTACTCAGGGGGCACAAACCGGCAGTTGGGGGCAAATTCGACGCCTCTGATCGTTTCATCGAACCTACAATTTTGACTGACGTTCAACCAAACAGCCCCATCATGCAGGAAGAGATTTTCGGGCCGATTCTTCCGATTATTACAGTAAATGATGCCTCCGAAGCGGTCAAATTTATAAATTCGCGGGAAAAACCGTTAGTTTTTTACATTTTTTCGAATTGTAAGAAAGATGTGAGTTTGTTGATTGATAATACTTCATCTGGAGGTGTCCTTGTCAACGATACCATTATGCATATGGCGACTGATATGCCGTTTGGAGGGGTGGGTTCTAGTGGGATGGGATGTTACCATGCGAAGTATACTTTTGATACGTTTTCGCATAAAAAGAGTTGTTTGTATAAAGATTTGGGGTTGTTGGGGGAAACTTTGGGGGCTGCGAGGTATCCCCCGTATACAGAGGGCAAGTTGAAGTTTTTGAATTTGTTGTTAAGGAGGTGGCCGGGGGTACCGTTAAAGTGTTTGTTGCATCTTCTTATATTTGGTGCTGGGTTTGTTTCTGCTATTGGGTGCACATATTTCTTGGATAAAAAGCAGTATTTTTAAGTGCTATTTTATTCTTTAAGTGGTAAAGGTATTGAAAATTGTATTTTTTGTATTACATTGTAGGCCAGGGAACAAATATTTGATGTATTTTTTCGTTGTTAATAACATACTTATTATTATTGTTGTATTGTAGATAAGTTTATGTTTTGATAAAAACATTTTTGTGATATTTTGTTTTATTGCATTTACCTAAGAAGTTCAAAAAACTCGAATGACATAACTGATGTAACTGTATTGACAATAAGGAAAGAAAGTGAAAGAATTATGCAACTCAAGGACGTAAAATATTTACTAGTGATTTTTAAGGAAAACTCTTGCTTTTCGACAAACTGTGGAGTAAAAAACTGTCTGAAAATTTTTAGTTTCCTACAGCCGTAATCAAATTTTGATTTTTTATTTTCTTATTTTTATGCTGACAATAATAATGTAATTTATTCAAGCCTTGAGGTCAAAAACTTTGTAATGACTCTCATTTTCTTTTATTTTTCGTAGCTTTCAATTATTTTGTTTCAATATCAACTTAATTCACTAGAGATAAGAAGACAGTATTAGGGTTTTATTCTAAAACAGGAAGGAGAGAGAATGTCAGCTAATGAGATGATGAAAAATGACTGACATTATGGTCAAGGACGTTTAATAATAACAACACTAATTGAGCCAAAAGCATATGTCATTGTTATTAATAAGTTTATTTCTTTAAACTTTGGATTATGGAAATTACATCGTTTCATAGAAATAAAATACATATATAAATAAAATTCATGTTTACACGTTTTTTAAATATTTGTAATATCCAACCATTTTTAGTTTCATGATTATAATAATTGGAATCTATGTAACAAATTTCTTTAAAAAAAAAATGTGAAAATTAAGTGATAGAATTGCGATAAAAAAGGCACAAGGAAAATGTGTGGGTACCTCAGGACTTTTCTATTGCCATACCTGCAACGTCGCAACTGCGTTTTTTGGAGTGAAATGGGTCACAAACATTTGATTTCTATGTAAAAGAAGAATGTGTTACAGCTGAACCCTACTCACAAATTTAGAACCAAGAAGCTCCACTATTTTATACAGAAAAAAAGATTGTGAAAAATGAGATGTAGGTATTTTTCAAAGTTAAAAAAGTGAAGGTAATGTATCCCTTGTAATTAATATTGAACATTTACAAGACGATTGAGAATATAAATAAATGTAAGTGTTAAGGTGCAAAAAATAACCTGTTAAAGCCAAATAAATCAAATATGTAATCATAAATAACCATTACCATTAGAATACATTTTGAAACTTTAAAATAATTTATAACAGTAGTTGTAAGATATTTCATACTTAATGATTTGTTTATTTTCGTACATACATATTATGTACTTGACTTGCAATTAATGATAATTATTTAAACCTTGTTTTTTACATTTACTAAAGACCACAATTTTTATTTCCTTGTATTTTTATAATAAATTCTAATGTCAACATTGAAAAATACTTCGTTATTAGATTTTATTTATTATATTGAGTAAGTAGGTATGTATACAGGGTGCGCCAGAGAAAAATGCCATATAAGGTAAGATACCAGGAACATGGAAAAAATGTTTTATCTATAAAAATTTCGAAGTTATGAGGGTTTAAAGTTTGCACTTTGACTCTATTTATTTCTGTTAGAAAAATAAATAAATAAGTTTTTTTTGCTATAGGCTATTAAAAGAGGAAACAAGGAAGCTGTATCCTAAATTGTAACTCTGTTCAATGTTATTTGTGGCTTTTATTGGCAAAATTTTTGTCCCTTTACTAAATAATTGTAAAAAAACATATACAAGATCATAAGTATCATTAAATAGATATAAAAAAATGTCAAATGTCAAAAAGTAAATGTCAACATTTTTTTCATGTTCCTGGTATCTTACCTTACTTGAAAATTTTCTCTGGGGCGCGAGTTCTGGCGCACCCTGTATAATATCGAGCGATCAAGATAATTTGTAATCGAGTCATCTTTGCCTCCGAGAACGTATGTCTGTTTTTGAACTAACTGCACGTGAAACGTAAAATAAAATGATAAGTCGAAAGGTTAAACGACAAAATGGGCTAGATTTAGTCGCCGACGTGTGATAACACGAGTAGGACCGTTCTTTTTTGAAGGTAAAATATAAATTTAGTTATTATAATCATCTCCTTTTCGATCATGTCATTTTACCTTTCAACATTTTACTTGACATTTTACAGACATACGTTTTCGGATCCAAGGATGAGTCGATTACAGATTATTTTGATCGCTCGATAGTTATTTGATGGAAAATTTTAATAAACGTTTTGAAGCATTTTATTTACAATTATTGTGTTGTCATGAACATAGCATCCGCTTTTATCAACTAATTAATACAAAATTTGATTGTAGAAAATACCTATGCTAATGAATAAATTGTCAACAAAATAATTGTTATTAACAATTTTTTTCTTAATTTGCATAGTCGGTAACGAGTAAAATCACTAATCTATGTAAAAAATCGCAATATTACAGAAGAAGAATCTACCAGGTGAATAAAAGTATGGAACCAAACGTTTTTTGCTCAAACTATTTATTTTTTGGAAAAACTATTTGATGAATGATAAAGTACCTACTATAAAAATGTGATGTTCTTTCAAGAATAAAATTTTTCGAAAATTTGTTTGTTTTTGAGTTATACAATTTTTTTTATTTTTTTAAATGGCAACCCACTATTTTCTCATGAAGGTTATGATCTAAGGATTACAACTATCTACTTTATATTTAATTTGTTCAAAAAGAATTTTTACATAAATTGCAATTTTACCAAAAAAAAATTGCATAACTTAAAAACAAAACAAAATTTCCTTTTCAAAATACGATCACATTTTTTTATATTAGTTTAATTTATATGTATTAATTATTATTTTCTGGAGGCAAATGATTTAAAAAAAACGCTTGGTTCCATACTTTATATTTACCTTGTATGTGTACTTTAATAACAAATAAACTATTTTTTACAACATTAATATCTTATATTGTTTTTATGGTACATACTTACTTACCTCTTATGTTGTTGTTACTATACAGGGTGCGCCAGAACTCGCGCCCCAGAGAAAAATGCCATATAAGGTAAGAACCAGGAACATGGAAATTATGTTAAAAAAATTTTATCTCTAAAAATTTCGAAGTTATGGGGGTTTAAAGTTTGCACTTTGACTCTATTTATTTCTGTTGGAAAAATAATTTTCCAAGTTTTTTTGCTATAGGTTATTAAAAGAGGAAACAAGGAAGCTGTATTCTAAATTGAAACTCTGTTCAATGTTATTTGTGGCTTTTATTGGCAAAATTTTTGTACCTTTACTAAATAATTGTCAAAAAACATATGCAAGATCATAAGTATCAAAATATCTAATATAAAATATCTAATGACTATGTATCAAAATACGTAGTCAATCACAATGTATTTTATAAGTAACTATATACTACATAAAATACTCTTAGCTTGACGTTTTGTCAATTTTAAGAATATTTTGTCAAATTTCTTTGTAGAAATTTCTGAATTTAGTACAATTTTTGATCCAATATTAGTGTGGAAAAAATTTTGAAGACATCACAAGTTTTATAGTTTAAAACTCTTGTTGTCTTAATAGTTATAAAACAGAAAATAAATAATAGTTATAAAAAAACAGTTTTTTTTTACATAATTAGTATTTAATACGAGTTATAAATATTCGATCTTTGATTTTGTTTGATGAGTTTTTGCAACTCACTTTGCTCGTCGTGTTCCAAACAACCTCAAGTGTATACACTGGCATTGTTCTAGTACTAATTTGGAAGAAAAAAAAATGTGTTAGTAAGTTTGTTAGAAATTAGCAGTAATAAAAGTTATTTAAAAGTTAACTTATTGTTTTTTGTAGTAGTTTAATAAGTTAGTGCTAACAACTTTATTAAAAAGCTTTTAGTTTAAAAGTTTTAGAATTGTAAATTTGATATGCAGACTTTCTGTTGTAGTTAGGTAAGTGTCATTATTAATGCTTGTAATTTATCTTTGCACAAAAAAACAACAAGGTAGGTGTCAGTAATTTTGTATTGATTCGATATTGATCTACACATACGAGTATATTTTTCTATAATAAATTATCCACCTATATTACTTGTGATAAAATCGAAACTCAAATGGTAATCAAAAATTGAAAAATACAAGGGTGTGAGTAAATTATCCACAGGTGTGGCTTACTGTTTAAAATAAACCCACAGCTCGAAATTTGTTATTTTATTACATGATGGTTGTAGTTTGAACACGAAGTAAGTTTCTTGAGATTTAAGAGAGACCTTCTTCATGTGAGTATCGCTTTTTATTATTTATTTAATAATGCGGAATGTCTTAATTTTAAAATAGAAACAAACTCCATTTAGAACTACATATTATATGTTATTATGTCTTTTATACAGGATGACTCATATAAATCTACGAGCCTAACTAACTTTAAATACAACTGACAGTTCAATATCTACAAAATACCTACTAGATTCAAAAATCACAAACATTTTAATTACCTAATCATATTTGTGGACAATTTTAGCGGAATGTCAACTGTCAATTTGACAGTTTGGTTGTATTCAAAGTTCGTCAGGGTCGTATGAATTACTCTGTATTTTTATTCAATTATTTATTGAATTATTTTTGATATTTGTATCAGCGGATCACGTAATTGTTTCTGAAGTATTTTTTAATCCGTTGCAGAAAATGTGTAGTTTAACATTTCCGATTTTGTATATTAAAAAGGAACAGAATACAGGGTGACACGGAGGAAGTTTGAGATATTTTAATTTTTAATCTATCATTAACAGAAACGGCACAATTTTTTTTTATTGGGATACCTTATAAATTTCAGCAGACGGGACATTTTTTGAGAAAACAAACAGAATTTTTTCCTCAAACTGTAGACACACGGTTTTTTATTCAGTGGTGATTTTTTATTTATTCATTTTCTTTCTCAGAAATAAGAACTTTACGAAAACAAAACTTTAGTTTAGAGACAAGTCAGTTGTTAGCATTCAAAAATTTGAACTTAATGAATTTTTGATAAAATAAAAATTGATGAAAATTTCCGTATAGAAGGTCATTAATTACAAGTTTTTTAAGTGAAAGGATGAATTTAAGTATAATTTCTGGTGATTTTGTCACTTATACATAATTTTCTTTTAACAGGGAATAAAACAAAGCTTTATTATTTTCCTGTTTTTGACCAATAATCTGTTACTTTATTCCCTCGACAATAAAATAAATGTTCAAAATCTACAGAAAAATGAATTTTTCTTTTCACTGAGTCAGAATGATAAAGTTTTAAAGCAAAAAATGTTACTCCTTTAAGTTTTGGAGTAAAATCAAAGATATTTTTTTCCTCTTGTAAATTCAATCCCGGGACATACTGTATACAGGGTGTTTCACACAACTTTACGAGGCTTGCGCCTAATGTACGCACCCAAATATACAAAAGTCATAAAACACTAGATTCAAAAAATACACATTTAATTATTTAATTTTTGGAAACCCATGACAGTAGTTGTCAAACTATCGCTGTTTCATTAATTGTCATAAACTGCAGTTTTTCAGAAACAATTATCATCAATTATCAAGAGACGCCATGAATATGATACTAGTTTATCTATCTTATTACTAACTAACTAAAAACGTTGTAATCTTTTAAAGGGTGAACAAACTAGAGCAGATAATTGAATTTTTCAAAATTTGTAATCGAGTTCGTATCGGAATATGTATTATTGATTGCATCTTACAGGCGCAGGCCTCATAAAATTATGTGAAACACTCTGTATACAAAACTTTAGTTTAGGGACAAGTCAGTTGTTAACATTCAAAAATTTGAACTTTTGATAAAATAAATTACAAGTTTTTTAAGTGAAAGGATGAATTTAGGTATAATTTCTAGTGATTTTGTCGCTTACACCTAATTTTCTTTCAACAGAGCATAAAATAAAGCTATATTATTCTCCCGTTTTTTGACTAATAATCTGGTACTTTATTCCCTCGAGAATACAATAAATGAAACACCGATTATTATCAATAAACTGGAATTGAATGTGTTTTTTGACGTAAATAAACTCTTTAATACCGATTTTTACTCTTAAAATTGAGCAATTCAACGATATTTCGACAAATTTATCGTTTTCTTATGTTATTAATTTAGTTTTTTGGGAGAAAAGTTTTGCATGCATCTTGAAAGAAAATGCCCTCAGCTTCCTTCGGTCGCCTCTGGCATTACCTAGGTATATTCTTAGGGTTGTTTATTCCCTTGATACATAAATAAAAGTATAACTATTATTTCATAAAATACTATCTATTATTTCGAATGTAAAAATTAGTAACATAAAGAAGCAGCATTTTAACATACTTTTGCATTGTAAATTGTTTTTTATTTTGTTTTTTTTTTTTAATTATAAAGGCCATTTAGAGGTCAGCCTATTACAGAACCTTGACTTAAATTATGCTTTTTAAAATTTATTGAAATGGCAAAAATACTGAAATTACACTCGTTGCAAATATTCTGTATGAACAGTTATTGTTTGTTGAGCAAATATTGCTTTTGCAAACGTTTACCTACATAATGCAAGTTAGTTTATTAACCTTAAATAGTTAAATAGATCACAAATGTCATTTAACAAAATAAATCTTTGTACGTTAATTGCGTTTTGTTTTTATTAGGAAGATAACGGATGACTTGGCATTTAAGTCCCCACACTTAATAACACTCGAGGTTTGATTTAGTTTAGAGCAGTGTGAGGAAGGTCAAAAACGCATCCGTTTTTCCAGTGCCAACATAAATATTTTTCCGTATCCACGATTATAAGGGAAATTTTCGTCGATCTATTTTAATTTCAAGGTAAGATATTACTTGTAAAAACCGGTGTTACTCGAGTTTGCTGCATTTCCATAGCGTATTTCGACGTCCATCAAGCAAAAAAATTACATCGTGAGTCTAAGGTCAACAAGTTTGTCGGTCAATTTCAATGGCAATTATTTATTTTTTCCAAAGTATAAGCAGTCATTGAGCTTGAGTTTTGTGGTGTCGACCTGGAATCACAAGCAAATTCGTAAGTTGGCGTTTGAACAGTGTTATTTCATCAATGTTTGCTATTCAGTGGGCGAATCTAATGTATACGGACATTTACGTTTATTTACCTGTCATGCTAATGTAATACATATTATCTGCGTTGTTGTTGTGGTTGTTATCTAGTGACCAAAGTACAAATAATTTAATCGATTCGATAATACTGGATTTTAAGAATAGAATCGCATCAAAAATGAATGTCATTCTTTAAGTGGGTTGGTAATTATTCCATAGTGACGATTCTGAGGAAAGAAATTTTTATGATGTTGGGGAAAAAATACAAGTTAAAATCCGTCTATATGTGCTTGAATTTTATATCAAACTAGTTTATGATGGATTTAATGAGGGTGGTTGTAACCAAAAAGTTAATTGCCATAAAATTCAAGCAAATATAGAAAGACTTTAACCAAAAGTGTTCGAAAGTATCTTGGTTTAGAGATGTCGAAAGTATCGCCGAGAAAAATTATTACCAGTTCCTACAGAAAAATGAATTTTTCTTTCCACTGAGTCAGAATGATAAAGTTTTAAAGCAAAAAATGTTACTCCTTTGAAGTTTTGGAGTAAAATCAGAGATATTTTTTTTTCCTCTTGTAAACTCAATCCCGGGACATACTGTATATTTGTCAGTTACTGTCACCCATTTTACCTCAAAAACGCAGTTGCGATATTGTCATATTGCGGAGGTATAGAAGTTTGAGTATACAGGTGCGCCCAGTATAAAATGCCATGTAAGATACCAGGAACATGGAAAAAATGTAAAAAAAAATTATCTATAAAAATTTCGAAGTTATGAGAGTTTTAATTTTGCACTTTGACCCTATTTATTTCTGTTAGAAAATCAATTTTGCAAGTTTTTTTGCTACAGCCTGTTAGAAGAGGAAATAAGGAAGCTGTACCCTAATAAATTGTTATTTGTGGCTTTTATTGGCAAAATTTTTATACATTTACTTAATAATTATAATTAAACATACAAGACACTAGTATTATTAAATAGACATAAAAAATGTCAAATGTCAAAAAATAAATGTCAAATTTTTTTGACAGATAGAATTTTTTAAACATTTTTTTCATGTTCCTGGTATCTAATCATACTTGAAATTCTTCTCTGGGGCGCGAATTCCCACAGATCCTGTATACAGTTGGTTCGAAGTTTTTGGGACTACTATCATCTAGTTTCGAAAGCGAGTAAAGAAGAGTTAAAAGTTTTAAGTTGTCATTTACTGAGACAGAATGTTGTGCTACTTTTCAAAACTTTTAAATACAATTTTTGATTATGAATGTGTTGATAAGAGAGGCAAGCGAGAACTAAGTAACAGTAAATGTAAACAGTTTATATACAAAACAAAAATAACATCAAAACAACAATAAATATAGCATGAAAGGTCAAACACATATGTACATTTGTTTTTCATAGCAGCAGCCCATAAAAGGCTTGTATACATTTCTGATTTTATGTTGTTTTGTAGAAAGAGAGAAAGAGTTAGTTTCGCAGTCTATTTTAAAGTCATTTCTAACAATATACATTTATTACCCGTAGTAAAATTATTACTTTTATTTTTGGATTTATACTTTTGCAAGAAGCTTATTTAACATTTAATCTAATTATTATTTATATTGAATTTAGAGAAAAAAAATGTAAGTATTTAGTTAAAATAGGTAAAGTTAAACGATTTTTCCCGAAACCAAAAAAAAACAACAATTTTTAAAAACGAATCAATGAATTAAGGATTTCGCTGAGTTATAGAATTCTTATTTAAATAAAATATCTTTCTTTTATTGGGTCAATAAGGCTTTGAATGTTGTATTAAAATAAGTGATTTTCATTATTGGAATATTATTAAAAGTTATATTTTCTGACTGAATTTATTTACATACTGTTTTCACTTCTAAAAATACTTTTTTTGCATAGTGATTATGAAAGTTGAATTTTCATTACGATTAATCGTATAGAAAGTTATACTTTTTTAAACGATTTCTATAGTTATATTTCTATAGTTATTTTTATAGTTTCTATAGAGTTCGTTACAAAGAGCTCGCGATATATTACGATTTGATTTATCAAATTGACATCTTTTTGGTCTTTGGGGTTCTTGGGGTTATCACTATGCAAAAAAATGTTAATCAAGCAAATGTGTGAAAAAAAGTATGACTTTCAAAAGAATTTTTCTTGTTAATCAATTTTACTGACTTTTTGTAGGTGCTACTACATAAAATAATTGCAACATAAAACTGTGTTTTCTTTCGTTTTTTGAATTATCGAATATAATTTTTATAAATAGAATTACTGGTGTGATAAAATTGACAACAAGAAATTGATTGTTAACGCCTCCTTTGGAAAATACATTTAATATACAGTAGGTATATCATTAAATACCGTGCGATCAAAAAAAAATAAATTAGAGTAGGCGGTGTATAAAGTCCTTCAAATGGCAGTCCTGATTTTTGAAATCAAATGTCAGCGGAAACTTTGACATGTTTGCGTTTTATTCATTTTGAGTGAAATAATGTTCACTTTAGAGCAGAACATTTTTATTGTTGCAAGTTATTACAAAAATGCTGTACAAGACGAAAACGGTGAATGGTCATTTTCACTTTTGGTTTGTGTGGAAAATTTCCAGCCCAGATTCCCAGCTAATGTGATGCCAACTGTAGAATTTAATCGACACATATTCTATTTTTTATTTTTTTTTCTGATCGCACGGTATTATTTTTAGTTGATTATTAGATATTTATTTTAGAATTTAGTTAATCCTCGCAAATGCATTGTTTTTATATGCAGGGAAATTGCGTCTCCCAGAGTACTGAAAAAATGTTTAAAAAATTCTATTTGTTAAAAAATTTTGACATTTATTTTTTGACATTTGACGTTTTTTTATGCCTATTTAATGATATTGATGATATTGTATATGTTTTTTTTATAATTATTTTGTAAAGGTACAAAAAATTTGCTAATAAAAGCCACAAATAACATTAAACAGAGTTACAATTTAGGATACAGCTTCCTTATTTCCTCTTCTAAGGGCCTGTAGCAAAAAAATAATTTGGAAAATTATATAATTATATAATTGTTATAAAATTATATAATTTGGAAAATTATTTTTCCAACAGAAATAAATAAAGTCAAAGTGCAAAATTTAAAGTCTCATAACTTCGAAATTTTTATAGATAGATTTTTTTAAACATTTTTCTTGTTGTCTAGGGCATCGCCCTATACAGTGTCACGGAGGTGCGCGACATCCTGTATTTTTTGTAATTTCTCTCATTGTTAAAAATTAAAAATATTTTTAGTGTAAATAAACTTTAATTTGTTTAATTTGTTTCAGTCAAAATGTCGAATCCTTCCGAGGTTTTATGCAGCGTACGCAATGCATTTTCCACCGGAATCACGAAAAACGCTCCATTCCGTCTCAACCAATTAAAAGCACTTTTACGTTTATACGAAGAAAACGCCCCTGCTATGATCGCAGCTCTGGCTGAAGACCTTCACAAATCCAAATACGAATCAATCCTATCCGAAGTCGACTATTTAAAAAACGACGTTCTCAACATGATCTACAACCTTTCATCATGGATGGAACCTGAAAAACCCGAAAAAACCTTAGTCAACATCATGGACCAACTCCTAATCCACAAAGAGCCCTACGGCGTGGTCCTCATCATCGGTGCTTGGAATTACCCCCTCCAACTCGTCTTCGCCCCCCTTGCTGGAGCCATCGCAGCTGGAAATTGTGCCATTTTGAAACCCTCAGAAGTGTCATCAGCTTCATCTAAACTAATTGCAGAACTTGTCCCCAAATACCTCGACAATGATTGTTTCAAAGTCATCGAAGGCGGAGTTGCTGAAACTTCAGCACTTCTGAAGTTGCGTTTTGATTATATTTTCTTCACGGGTTCGACACATATTGCAAAGATTGTGAGCGAAGCTGCGGCCAAATTTCTAACACCGGTCACTCTTGAACTTGGAGGAAAAAGCCCGGTTTATGTTGACAATACTGTTGACATAGAAATAGCAGTCAACAGGATCATGTGGGGGAAATGTCTCAACTCGGGGCAAACTTGCATCGCCCCTGACTATCTTTTATGCTCGAAGGAAGTCCAAGAGAAGTTTATCGAGACTGCTAAGAAGGTTATACCACAGTGGTATGGCGACAAAGTTAAACAATCGCCCGATTATGGCAGAATTATCAATGATAATCACTTCAAACGCATCATGAGATTACTAGAAGGCACAAAAATTGCCTATGGGGGAGAATATGACTCTCAAGAGCGTTACATCTCACCCACGATTGTCGTCGATGTGAAACCTACAGATCCTATAATGCAAGAAGAGATTTTCGGCCCGATTTTGCCCATAATCATCGTAGATAACGCAGTCGATGCGATTAATTTTGTTAATCAAGGGGAAAAACCATTGGCTTTGTATGTGTTTTCAAATAAGAAGACTGACATTGATTTATTCATCAAAAATACATCGAGTGGTGGTGTCTGTATTAATGATACTTTAATGCAGTTTTCATGTGAGAGTTTACCTTTTGGAGGAGTTGGTAATAGTGGGCTTGGGGCGTACCATGGGAAGTACAGCTTTGATACTTTTACTCACAAGAAGGGTACTTTAGTTAAGAATGCGGGGAAGTTGGGTGAAAAGTTACAAAATGCGAGGTATCCACCCTATAATGAAAGCAAGTCGAAGTTTCTTAGCACCATGTTGAAGAAAAGGCCAACGATTCCGATGACGTATATGTGGCATTTTATTAGTTTTGGGCTGGGAGTTGTGGCTACTTTGGCGGTGAAATGTGCGTGTAATTATATGGAGTATAAAAATAAGAAACAATTTTAAGTCTTTCAATTTTTTATGGAGTTTATATTTGTTGTTTGTAATATGTTACTTTATTAAATAATGAAACTAGATGAAGTATTTATTTATTTATTGAAGGTTGAGCTCAGATTTATTCAAGCATTTAAAACCAGGAAAAATTCTTTCGCTCATTGTTAAAACCTTATCAAAATTGCATACATTTTCGATTTTTTTGTTTGGAAAATGAGTTCTTAACTGGTTAAACAAATCGTAAACGACAGAAAAATTATGGAGAATTTTTTTTAAGAAAACCTAAAACCTAAAAGAAATTGAAATGTTAAAAAAATAGGCCAAACAGTTCACCAGTTATTAAAGTTTTTCGAATAATGTTCAGATAAAAGTGAAAAAAAAGTGGTGGATGGGTTTTATCTTTTTTGTCATTTTCTTTTCTTTTAGAGAGTTTCTTATCAAATTTAGTACTTGAGAGTTTGGTTGTTATTTATCTTGATTTGCTATTTGCGATCAATCTTGTAACTGATGTACAAGTGAAAAATTCAATATTTTGCTATAAAAAATTTAGAAATACTGAAAATTAAAAATAATTTACAAAAACTATATGTAAACTTTCTTTTGGAGCTTTTCATTTGATGGATTCTATTAGTTTTGATAACATTGTTCTCTGGTGATAATTATGCTGATGATGGTAGTGCTGTATACTGTACAGGGTGCTGTATTTTGGATGTCGGAATAAAGAATTTCTAAAACTAAGAGGTTTATCCAAAAACGAGTGATACATATTGTAGCTCATTTTTTAAGAAAATAATATTGGTTTTAAAACCGCATCCCGCTATCGTCTTTCGTTTTCGACTTACAGAGAAAAGGTGACATTTTAGCGAAATTTAAAAAATTCATTTCTTCGTTATTATGCGAGTGGAAAATGGAGATTTGAAATAAAGACATTACACAGGCACTTTACGGGAAATTTAATAATATAGTTAACAATTTTTTTCAGTTATTTGTTTATTAAATGGGAGTCATGGCAATTTTGAAAAGCTTGATTTTTTCTTATCTAAAAAATATATATTTGTAACAGAATATTTTTTATAATTATACTTAAAAAATGAATTACATATTTTGTTTGATAGTAGTTGGCCATGGAAAAACTTTAAATGTGTAGATAATAATCAATAAAATTTTTGTGAACTGTCAAATAAATGAAACAATAGACAAAGGATAAAGATAAAAAATACGAGAAGTATTTTAGAAGTATCGAGCGCCTGAGAACAAAATTATTACATATTTTTTTTTAAATACGGAAATAGGAAAAACAAATGTGTCAACAGTCAACATAATTAGAAAAACATTTTAATGGTCTAATGGAGGTAGGATAACGTTCCACATAGACAGAATTTGGCCATGTCGTCATTTTTATGTCAAATAAAATATACTTATAGAATTACACACTACATAACATTCCATGTGTCACTAGAAGAAATTTCAAGAATTAAACCAGCCCTAACTGAAAAACAAATCGTCAAAAAAATTTTTTTCTTTGATATTTAGATACGCTGTAGGGGTGGCTAGCAACTAGGGGATGAAACTTAAAATGTAACTAATGTTGGTTTTCAACTTCCCCCTCGGGATCCTAATCGACCTGTTTTTGCTTGAAAATATATTTACTCAATGTCAAAAGTTATTGAGACTGGCTCCTTTTGAAATGAAAGCCTTGTATAAACATTCAGGTCAAGTTTAGTTATTTTGACTTCTTTTCAGCTCTACTATCACCTGTTAAAATATTTGCACATACTTTAAAATCACCCAGTATTTCTACTGATTCATTTTGTCACAAATCCAATCAAAATTTTGAAACAACTAATGGGAAATGGTATATTCCGTATATCTCTTTCTGTTTACATTATTTGTAATCATTTGTTGCACTTGTAAATGTAAAAGTAATTATCTCATGTTTATGTTTGCAGCACGACACGAGATAACATTATTACGAGTATCCTTTTTGAGAAATACTGGAAATAATAAAAAAACATTCTTGGGATTTACACATTTTAGCAGTCCATTCACACTGGTCTTTCCCCGATACCCAAGCTGTATTCTTTAATCTACCGATCCCATTTTCATATAAAAAGACTGCAGCTCGTAAATTCAAAATCAGTTTACAACTGACTTCTTTTGAATCAAAATCCACAAACACAATTCAAAATGGTTAATAACACTAGTTACTACTTCCTAGTTTTTGCACTTGTTGCATCAACGCTGGCTTTGCCAATCGAAGAGTACAATTATGACTTTGAACAAGCTTACGAACCTGATGATTACCAACTTTATCGAGCAGGACGCTTAATAGAACCAGTTGAAGAATACCAATACACTCCAGAGGAAATTTCGTATGAAGAACACAGAGCAAGACGTTCATTACAACCTGGTGCTCCAAATTTCCCTGGTCCTTCACAACAAGACGGAGGATGGTCGGTTAACCCCAGCGTTTCGAGAGACGACCGTGGAAATACCCAGACCAATGTTGAAGTTGGCCATAAGGGAAAAAATCACGATCTTAATGCTGGATGGGGAAAAGTTGTTAGAGGACCTGGGAAAGCAAAACCTACTTGGCACGTGGGTGGAACTTACCGGTGGTAAAGAAGAAAAATACAAACAGCCAAAGTTTTTATAATTATTTCTTATTCTATTATTATTATTATTTATGAAATAAAATGTAAGTAAAAATATGTCGTCTTGATAGATAAATTCTTTTTTTTTCTCGCCTGGCATTTTTTGGGTTCATCTGAGTCCCGTTGGCGCTTTAATGTGATAAAATTTTTTGACATATCCAATTTTTAGGCTTAAAATGTTTAACTTTATAATGTCAATTCTTCTTTGCGTATCTTGTTTTATTGTAGCTACTCTTTTTTCCCAGCTTTTATTAGTTGCGTTATTTTTCATTAAAAATTAATATTAATTCAGTTCAACTCCCGTACCTAACTAAGAAAAAACTTGGAATCACTGCTCCAATGCATTTTTACGACTTATTGATTGTTATTATTTTATTACAATTTTTTCAATGCCAAATGGTTATTGATTTGTTTACTTTACATACAGGGTATGTAACAGCGAGTTGAAAAAGTTCATTAGTGACCTTTAAATGGTAAAATTAAAAAAATATATATAGGACAGCGTCTCAAAAATAAGTTACAATACAAACTTTTTTTTAATGAAACACTGTATGTTTCTTTGCGATTTTAGATGTAGATTTTTATGACAATGTTTTTAAGATAAACTTTTATTGATCGATCTTTGTTAGTTTTAAAAATAAGACGGTTCTTTGACGAAAACATGCACTTTTTAATCGCAACATTTGTATTGTTGCTTAAATACCGATTGAGGAACTTTAGAATCTGATGCGATAATCATTTTTATTGTAATTTTAAGTAAAAATATTGCATGTTTAAAACAGCGGATTAAAATTTTTAATGCGCTGCTTAAACAAACAAAATAAACAATGACTTTAATAGTTTGATTTGACATAAATAAACGTCATTTTATAAGCCAAATTAAATAAATTATATTAATTAAATTTATTATTTTTAGATGTTTATAATCAATAACTAAAAAGATATTTAACGTTATACATTATAAAAAATACTTACTATTGTTTCAGTAGCCAAAAAGTGCACAATTGCACAAGAGATGGAAGAAATATCACATTTATTTCATTTAATATCACATTTAATCACATTTGTGTTAAACTGAATCCATTATTCTTTATTTTTACAACAAAATAATTCGAATTTCAATATTTATAACGACTTTTACAATTTCTGGATAAATCAACGAATAAGTGATCCGTGCTGGAATTACTATGGTTGCCATAGTATCAACAATGCTCATCAGATATTGATAGGATAAAGTTTATTTTTTAGATAGACAATTTATAAACCTATTAAATTCAAAAATAAAAAATAGCGTGTTCCATTTAAATTTTTTAAGTTATTTACCTTTTAACAAACTTCTTAATTTATTAATCCTTACAAATGCAAAACACTAAAAAAATGCTACAGCTTTAAATTCTGTACTTTCGTCTTTGCAGAACGCTGTATAATTAACACGCTGTATAATTAAGTACCGTGCGATCAAATAAAAAATAAATTAGAGTAGGCGTCGATTCAATTCTACAGTTGGCAACACACTGGCTGGGAATCTGGGCTGTGCTAGAAAATTTCCACACAAACTGAAAGTGACTATCCACCGTTTTTCTCTTGTACAGCAATAAAATTTTTCTGCTCTAAAGTGAACATTATTTCAGTCAAAAGGAATAAAACTCAAACTTGTCAAAGTTTCCGCTGACATTTGATGTCAAAAATCAGGATTGCCATCTGAAGGACTTTAATCAACGCCTACTCTAATTTATTATTTTTTTGATCGTACGGTACAAGTACACAAAGCTATTTATTAGACCCGAAAGTCTTACGTGGGACATTCTGTATATGACCCATCATGTAGATTCTTTTTTTGTACCTGGGGTCCTAGGAAAACTATAATTTTGTAATTTTAAATTTGTCCGTGATTGTGATTAGAATTAACAATGATAAAAGCAAATTGCACTAATTATTTCGAAATGCAACATTAGAATTTCCAGAATTACGACAATGAAATTAATTAAYTAAATGAAACTGGTAGCTCGCGAAAAAATGGTTGGCTGTCATACCAGTGACGTTTCTAACTTTGAGGTTAGAAACTGACAATAACAATAATAACAAATCGGTTACGATTTCCAAGATTTAATATGCGTAATTCTACCAGTTTTAAATAATTGCAATGAATTTGGGTCCTACAAATCCCTACGGTAACGGATTGTTATTTGCCGGTTTCAACCAAGACCATGGTAAATTTTGACAAATGATTACAATAAACACTGAGTTAAACTCTTAAAAATTGCAGGTTGCTTCGCTTGTGGAACCACTTCGGGGTTTCGAATTTATAATTGCGACCCACTTAAAGAAAAGGAACGCCACGACTTTGATAATGGAGGCTTAGGTTACGTTGAAATGTTATTCCGTTGCAACTATCTTGCACTTGTCGGAGGCGGCGTAAATCCTCTTTTCACCCCCAACCGGGTCATGGTTTGGGATGACTTGAAAAAGACAACACCTATAGCTTTGGAGTTTAACACTCCTGTACTGGCAGTAAGGCTGAGAAGGGACCGAATTGTTGTAGTTTTAGGTATAATTTCAAATCATGTTTAATATTTTATCTATTTGATAATTCTTTTTCAGAGGGAGTTATCAAAGTGTACACTTTTACCCAATGTCCCCAACAGTTGCACGTTTTTGAAACTAATACAAACTCGAAAGGGTTATGTGTACTTTGTCCAAATAGTAATAATTCGTTGTTGGCGTTTCCTGGTAGAAAAACTGGACACGTGCAATTAGTAGATTTAGCGAATACTGATAAGGCACCTTTGGATATTGTGGCCCACGAGGCTGCACTCAGTTGTATTGCTTTGAATTTACAAGGGACTCGCTTGGCTACAGCTAGTGAGAAAGGGACTTTAATTCGAGTGTTTGACACTGCAAGTGGTGATAAAATTGCAGAGTTGAGACGCGGTGCTCATCAGGTAAGGAGTTTTATGGTACAAATGATTGAAACCTTTTTAAAATCGATGGTCATCTGTTGAATGAAGAATATGTATTTTTAGTTTTGGGTTTGTACTTTCCTCTTTGAATTGCTTTAAGACTGAGGAAATTGTTTAAGTTTTTTTTTCGTATTTTTTCAAATAACGTTTAAATTTACAACACTAAAAATTTGTATATACTGGATGACTATGTATGTGACAAAATCTATTGGCAACACTGAATTATTAAGTATCCTTCTAATTTGTTATTGTTGTTTGGCTCTAAAAGTTTGACGTTTGAATGTCAGTGTCAAGATTGCTAAACCTAGATTTTAAATTTGACGCCAAATTGAGGAAAAAAATCACAGTCACCCGGTACTATGTACAGTTGCGGAATTAAAATTTCGGGCAGTATTGTCATTTTCGTAATGTAAACTCTAAAACAACCTTTACATTAATAACCTCATTTTTTACTCTTGTCATGTTTATGTCATTTTGACTTTCAAAAATAGTGTCACCGACAGAAAAGTTTAATTGTCAAATGTCAGTCATGATGACAGTAAAAGGTAGTTTACAGTGCTTTTTGAAGTGACAGAAAAATACTGCCCTAAATTTTAATTCCGCAACTGTACCAGGAAACTAAATTTGTATTATTAAAAAGGCAAAAAAATTGTAATCTTAATTTGGCAAGCTTGACTGTCAGACTCAATAAACGACATAAAATTTTATGGACAATTCTGAGAAACAGGTTTTTTTTCGAACAACCAAGAATGTTAGAAGAAGGAATTGCAATTGTGTCTAAATAAATATCGACTCTGGAGTGTTATGAAAATGAGTGTATATCTTGTCAGTTTTCTCTCAAATTTACCAAATTTTTAACATGTGTTTACGGAGGACTGAAACTACGATTCAAAATTACTCAATTTTTTGTTTTTACTCAAAAAATTTAGTACAGCTATTAATTTAGTAATAGCTATTTATGTTATAACTTATAAGTATATCGGGTGATTCGAAAATGTGTGGCATAATTTTAACCACAAAAATTCCTCTACAAATGAGCACAGTATTTATTGACTCACCTCAAAAAAATAGAAAAATTGCAGCTTTCTAAAAATCGGTATGAAAAAATGATTTTCTGGAAATATTTTTGTTATCGTTTAAGTTTGCATGTTAAGGGACAAAAAGACACTCTTTGATCTGATGTACGCGAAAGTCTATACATTTCCGGTGTCAATGGGGCCCTTCCATTTTTTGGGTTATAAGTTTTTAGTTTAAATCCAAATAACTCGAGAACGGTACATTTTGACGATCTGAAACAAGAGTACATTTTTTACGAAAAATGATTGGGCTTCCAATTTTTTTATTTTAGACGTGGGACCATAAATATAGCGTGTTCCGTTTAAACCCCACATTAGAAGTATTGGGAGTTGGAATAATCGTATTTATTTGAAAATTGGTACATAGCCATAAACCATTAAGTCCTCCTAAATGAAAATATTTTCAAAATAGCGGCACTTCCGCTTATACCGGAAGTCGGTCTCAACTTTCTTATTTTAAATGGAAAGCTATATTTTTTACTGCGTTTTTGGATTAATCGGGTTATTTTAAGGGAGTTTTCATCAGCTTTCCCTATACCTAAATTTAGCCGTTTTTGAAATATTTGGAGTTTTTCAAAATTTTTTGGATCTACACCTTACACTTTAAAAATCGGTAACTCTGCCATTTTTTAAGATTTTGAATTCGTCCTTTTTCTGGTGTTTTCAAATTTAAAAAAATAACATATCCCAAAATTTTAAGGTTACTTTTGTAATAATTCAAATACACATAACTCAATTTTTTCAAATGAAATATCCCAATTTTTATTTTACTAAATAGAAGAGAATTTGATTGTGCATTGATCTGTATTAACATTCCCTATACCTAAATTTAATAATTTTCAAGTTTTGGACTTTTTGTTAAGACTACAGAAAATTTATTACTAGCCACACCCGTTTTCACATAGTTTGCTATGGAAATAAAAAATGTCAAAATTTTCTCTAAACAAACATCAACACTAAATTACTATTTGACAAATAGTGCCTAAATATGAAGAATCAAAGTTATGCAAACTTAATTATTATTGATAGGTTCTAACTCCCTTAAAATAAACCGATTAATCCAAAAACGCAGTAAAAAATATAGCTTACCATTTAAAAAAATAAGAAAGTTGAGACCGACTTTCGGTATAACCGGAAGTTCCGCCATATTGATTTTTTTTTCATTTAGGAGGACTTATGTACCAATTTTCAAACAAATATGATTATTCGAACTCCCAATACTTTTAATGTGGGGCTAAGACGGAACATCCTGGATTTGTGGATAAAATTATGCCACACATTTTTAAATTACCGATATATACAGGGTGTCTCAACGAGTTGGTAATATAACAAAATAGAGAAGAGATTTTTTATAGCCCAGCTGTTTATTTCCCGAGATGGGTATCATCAATGCATGTACTGAATTTCCGATTACTGCAGTTGCAGGTCACATTGCTGTGTGTTTCTCTTTTTTTTTGCTTTCTTAACACTAATTTTTTATTGCTCAAATCGATAGAATAATCAATTTCGAATAAAAACGCATAACTTTTTATAGCACTAATGCCCGGTTTCTGGAACGATTTAGCATTAGATAAATTTTATCAGTTTTCCAAAGATTGTATGTATTTCTGGACTCGCTACCTCTACCAAAATTTACAAACAAGTGCATTATATTTTGATTTAAATTTTAATTTACTCTTAAAATTAAGGTAAATTATTATTTGTTAAACAATAACAATAATAAAGATGAGAATGTTTTTTTTACCAATTTACGTAAGGCCAGTGGCGTAAGGTGAAATTTAATGTAAGGGAAAGCAATTTAAACAAAAATATTTATGGAGAAATTCGATTTGTTTGTTTTTTTTACAAATTTTTTCTGTTATGTTATTGTCAAAACTGTGTGGAAATACTTATCTTTGTAGAAAATCTAAAATTGTTTACGTACGATTTCTACAAGGAGAATTTACCATAATACTTTTTACTTTTAATAAGCTCTTTTCATTTTCATTTATACATAAAGAAAAAGTTATTTCTTGCCTTCTAAAKATTTACATTTACGTGTTATATTTTGTAACACTTTTACGTCTTTGAGTGTTTTCATTCTACTTTTTAACAAATTTTATTTTTTTCTTAAAAAATCAATCTACAGACAATTTTTTTTGATGATGCATTTTTGTTTACAGGCCACCATATACTGTATAAACTTTAACCACAATTCAACATGTCTGTGTGTGGCTTCGGACCACGGCACTATCCACATTTTCGCATTGGACGACCAAAAACTAAACAAACAATCGACTCTAGCGAACGCCATGTTTTTACCGAAATATTTCTCTTCCACTTGGTCGTTTTGTAAGTTCACAGTGCCCAATGGCCCACAATGCGTCTGTGCTTTCGGTGCAGATAACAATTCTGTTATAGGTAATTCAAATTTTCAATTTAAAAGAAATGTATTTATGGATTGTTTTCAGTAATTTGTGCCGATGGTTGTTATTACAAGTTTGTTTTTAACTTGAAGGGGGAATACGTCCGAGAGCAAAGTGCMCAGTTCCTGGAAATGAGCGATGACAACGCATAGACTGGCAAAATATAATTGTGATTGTATAGTTATGTCTACTTTAGGGGAACTACGCGATGTGCATGGGTTTTTTAGGAGATAAATCCCACTCACTAATTTTATAGTATAGGTTTTTGAAGTGTTCATTTCGAAAAATGTCCTAACTTAAAGTGCACATAATCCCGATTCCCACTTTAATTTTATTGTCATTTGTCAGTATATTAAAAAATAAATATTTTATTTTATTATTTCGTTAATTGAAATAAGAAATGAAAGACTGCATAAAACACATAAACTTTATTCAGTACATCTCTATGGAAATTCACAGAAAAATAGCGCCACATTTGTGCAAGTTTCATATAAGACACAATTAATTCAATACAACAGTATAGAAGGAAGAAAATGATCGTGAAACTCACTTATAATATCACAAATGGCTAATAATGAGTGTCACAATGCCGATCTCATTATTATTGTCTTTGTTCTAATTTGGACTTTCTACGAAGCAGTGGCGAGCGTCGCCGTCTAACATCAAAARTCGATATAATTTTGGTAAATATTTAGACTAGAGGTTTGTTCGGGTCGTTACTCATTGGTTGAATGGTGTGGGTGTAGCCGCCATAGGCATGGATCACCGTCGGAGACATGGAACCGTATCTTGAGCAGCGAGCTCGACCCAAACTTACGTAATACAACACGATGGTATACCACATTTCGATGAAGATGAGAGAGCCGGCTAAACACACCACTGAAATTGGTATCACTGATTATTAGTAATGTATTAAGAATTCATGATTCAAAAACTTGTAAAAACTGTTTGAGGACTGCAAGCATAAAGGAAAAATTGTGTTCTTATTAAAAAGATAACAATTAAGCTGCTTCTATAGCACTCTTAATTAGCCTTTATTTTAATTATGATGAGTGGCCCAGTCGATAGAAATAATATTYCAGTGACTGTCAAAAGTCTTTGGAGTTTCAGCAAATACAGGATGTCTCAGTGAGTTGAAAAAGTGCATTAGTGACTTTGAAAGGTAAAATTATTTTTTTTTATAAGACATTGATAGATTCTAATCTAGTGCATCACCTAAAATTATTTTCAACCATACAGCATTTCCCAAAAATAAGTTACGATCCAAACTTGTGTTTTTTTTAAATTAAACACCGTATGTTTCTTGGCATTTTTGGATGTAGCTTTTTAAAACAATGTTTTTACGCTAAACTTTAATTAGTCGATTTCGCTTAGTTTTCGAAATAAAACGTTTTATTTGATGAAAACATGCACTTTTTAGAAATTCATTACACAAAAATTAAGACAGCTAGAACAAATTTTTTTTTACTTCTGCAAAGAAAAAAGTACAAAATTTAAAGCTGTAGCAATTTTTTAGTGTTTTGCTTTTTTAAAGATTAATAAATTAAGAAGTTTGTTAAAAGGTAAATAACTTAAAACCATAGTAATTCCATCATGGATCACTTATTCGTTGATTTATCCAGAGGTTGTAAAAGTCGTTATAAATACTGAAATTCGAATTATTTTATTGTGAAAATAAAGAATAATAAATTCAGTTTAACGCAAATGTGATTATTAAGTGATATTTCTTCCATCTCTTGTGCAACTGTGCACTTTTTGGCTACTGAAACAATAGTATTTTATTTTTTTTTTAATTTCTAACGTTAAATGAAACACCTAAATGTAAATAATTTTAGAAAGACAATTTAATAATCTTTTAAATGCAAAAACAATAAATAGGGTGTTCCATTTAATTTTTTAAGTGTTTGAACTTTTAACAAACGTCTTCATTTATTTATCTTTGTAAATGCAACACACTACAACCTTATAGCTTGTACCTTCTTCTTTGCTGTAGAAAAAAATATTTAGATGTCTTAGTTTTTGTGGAATAAATTTTTTAAAAGTACTTGTTTTCGTCAAAAAAACCGTCTTTTTTTTTAAACTAGTCAATATTGGCCAATAATAGTTTTAAAACATTGTCTTAAAAATCTACATCCATAAAAGCTAAGAAACATATGGTGTTTTATTTAAAAAAACATAAATTTGTACTGTAACTTATTTTTGAGACACGCTGTATAGTTGAAAATAAATTTAGACGATGGATTAGATTAGTATCTATCAATGTCCTATATACAGGATGCGCCAGAACTCGCGCCCCAGAGAAAAATGCCATGTAAGGTAAGATACCAGGAACATGGAAAAAACGTTAAAAAAATTCTATCTATAAAAATTTCGAAGTTATGGGAGTTTAAATTTTGCACTTTGACTCTATTTATTTCTGTTGGAAAAATAATTTTCCRAGTTTTTTTGCTACAGGCTATTAGAAAAGGCAACAAGAAAGCTGTATCCTAAATTGTAACTCTGTTTAATGTTATTTGTGGCTTTTATTAGCAAAATT